AGTAAGAAAGAAAGAAAGTAAGAAAGAAAGAAAGTAAGAAAGAAAGAAAGTAAGAAAGAAAGAAAGTAAGAAAGAAAGAAAGCAAGAAAGCTAGCTAGCTAGCTGCCAGGTCTGGGACTCAAATCACAGTTGGCCATGTGCAAATCCAGTGCCCCTAACCACTATGCTACCTGCTGGCCCCACCTAACTATATTTTTAGGGTCCTGTGTCCTACCTCTCTGCTCTCAGAATGCTTAATATGCTCAATAGGCACATTAATTCTCTTGGCAAGAATCTTGTCCTTAACTTATTTACAACAATGCTCACAGCATGCTGGGTAACATTGTAGACTCTTCAGTTTTGTCTGGCATTCCTTTTTGTACAGTATCCATTCCCTTGATATCTACAATATCACCTTTCCTGTGAATTCATAAAAATGTTGCCAAAGGAACCACTCCATGTTTCAGTATGAGTATGTTATAGGAGATGAGAGGACTATGACTTTGGACTCAGAAAGAGGAAACATTCAGTCAAATCCAGGGTATAGGACAGTCTACTGGACAGATAATTTATTCACAAAATTAATGATAAGAAAAAAGAAATCTGTAACCACTACGCCATCTGCTGGTCCCAAACTGAGAAATCTTTAAATGGAGTAAATATTTATTAAATAACATCAAGAAACAACTGCCGGGACCAGCAATTAGCGTAATGGTTATGTTGCTGGACTCCCACATGGTCGACAACGGTTCAAATCCTGGACCTGGTGGCTTAAACTCACGCCGGGCGCATGTGCGTGCATGCCCAAGATCCCAGGGGAGAATGGAGGAGAAGGGATTGCAGCATGGCCATCCCCCCTGGGGGGTGATTTCTCGCTTTCTGTCTCTCTGTCTCTCTCTGTCTGTCTGGCAAGCGCACACGCCCTGTAGCAAAAACCTCTCCAAAAAAAAAAAAGTTTGTAGAAAAATAGAATTAAAAAAAAAAGGAAACAATTGTCAATTTTGTTAAGTGTGTTAATGGCACAGTAGTTACTTTTTAAATATTCCTCATATAGTTAGGGATGCATAATAAAATATTCATGAATGAAATTATATCTGGAATTTCCTTTAATATTTTTTGATATTATTTTATTTATTCATAATATTAATAAATGATTTAAAACATTTTAAATGGGGAGTGGATGAATGAAGCAAAACTGATAGGACATTGATAACTACTGGAGTTGGATGAAGAGTATGTGGGGCTTCACAATACTAATTTGCTTTTATATACTTGAAATGTTTCATAAGATAACGTAATAATAATAAATTTGGAAAAGGAGATGAAAAAAACAAAAACAAAAACAAAAACAAAAAAAGCCTGATCTGAGTCCTGGCTCAGCCACTTACCATCGAGGTTTCCTTGGGCAAGCCATTCAATATCTGCAAAATGGGCATAATAAAGGTATTGAGTGTAAAGCGCTGAATATGGTAAAGCTCCATAAATGTGAGTTAATCTTGTTCTTATGAAAGAAATTTAGAAATGTAAATCTATACATGAGCCACCACAGCCCTCGCCATTTACCCACACAGCCCTCTCTTTACTCACCCCAAACCTCAGCCTGCTATGCTCCCCACAGCCCTCTTCTCTGCCCATTAACATTTTTCAAAGCCTCTTTCTCAATAAAATCTCATCTAAAATACAACTAAAAATGAATGGTTTGGGGGCCAGCATATGGCCTGGAGATTAAGGTGACCGGATTCCACACGACCAACTATACAGCTTGAGTCCTGGATCCAGAGGCTTGAAAAACACATGGGGCACATATGCATACATGCCCACAATCCTGAGAGGGGAATGGAGAAGGGACTGTGGTGCAACCACATCCTACTGGAAGGTGCTTTCTCTTTCTCTTTTTCTCTCTGTCTCTCTGATGAGTGTACATGCCCTCTGGCAATGAAAAAAATGACTCACTTGTAAGTTTGCATAATTAGTAATTATTTTATGATGACCAATATCATTATTTGTATTATTATATCTGCCTCTATCACTATTTTATAACATTCTTGAAAGTCTGGGCCATGCCTTAACTAGTTGTCTTGACCTTCCTAGCCTTAATACATTGCTTACCAAATGACAATAAATATTTACAACCAAAATAAATAGTTTTTGCATAGAATGAAATAAAAACATGCCCAACACACAGTAAGCATTAAATAAATAAGAGCTCTTCCTAGTTGCAATAATAGGTGCAATAGGAGCCAGCCAGTGGCATGGTGGTTAAGGTAGCTGGATCCCACATGGCCAACCACGTTCAAGTTCCAGAACTGGCAGCTTGATTTCTCACTCTCTCTCTCTGTGTACCTCTCTGGTCACACTGAATAATACTAATAAACAAAATTAAAAATTCTTTAAAAAAGAAAAACACACCAGGCACATGTGTGTGTGTGCCCAGAATCCTGAGACAAGAATGGGGGAGAAGGGATTGTGGTGTGGCTGAACCCCCTGGGGAGCAATTTTTCACTTTTTCTCTCTCTCTTTCTCTCCCTCTTCCTAGCAAGTGCACATATCTTATAGCAAACTAAAAATAATAATAGTAACAACAGGTATAATAATTTTACTATATAAATTTCATTTAAAAAATGGGGAGTGAGGATCCTGCTGCTGAACTTTGGGAACAAATAATCGAGGCCTGCTGGGAACAGGACTTCTAAAAGGCAACTATGTCTGGAAGGCTGTGGTCCAAGGCCATTTTTGCTGTCTATAAGCGGGGTCTCAGGAACCAAAGGGAGCACACAGCTCTTCTTAAAATTGAAGGTGTTTATGCACGAGATGAAACGGAATTCTATTTAGGCAAGAGGTGTGCTTATATGTACAAAGCAAAAAATAACACAGTGACTCCTGGTGGCAAACCAAATACAACCAGAGTAATCTGGGGAAAGGTTACCAGAGCCCATGGAAACAGTGGGATGGTTCGAGCCAAATTCCGAAGCAACCTTCCTGCTAAGGCCATTGGACACAGAATCCGTGTGATGCTGTACCCCTCAAGGATTTAAAATAATGAAATGTAAATGAATAAAAATGGATTTGTGTTGTAAAAAAAAAAATGGCAAAGCCCTCCCTGCTACCATACCTTCTAATACTAGAAATAGTATGGATAGGAGTAATTTAGGGGTGGGTAATAGGGCAAGGGAAGGAGGGAAAAAGTGAGGAAAAAAAATAGTATGTTTAGTTGACACAAAAATAAAAAGTTATGGGAACCAGCAGTTAGTGTAATGGCTATGTCGCTGGATTCCCATGTAGTCAACTGCGGTTCGCGTCCCGGACCCTGTGGCTTAAAACTCACGCCGGGCGCATGTGCGTGCATACCCAAGATCCCGAGAGGAGAATGGAGGAGAAGGGATTGCAGCGTGACCATCCCCCCTGGGGGGTGATTTCTCGCTTTCTGTCTCTATGTCTCTCTGTCTGGCAAGTGCACGCGCCCTACAGCGAAAACTCTCCAAAAATAAAAAAATAAAATAAAATAAAAATAAAAAGTTATTTGCTGATGGTAATGTATTTGTCTTGACTGATATGTACCATATTCATGCTGAAAAAAGTGATGTACATTGTAAGGATAAATAATGATTAAATGTAAATACTTGTAAGGATATATAGTGATTAAATGTAAATAAAAATAAAAATCTAGACTAGGCCAATCCATTGAGTCAGAAAGCAGACTAGTGGCTACCAGGGCCTGGGAGAAGGGGAAATGTTCTCCACTTGCTTAATGGGTACAGGGTTTCTTCTGGAATGCTTAACATGTTCTAGAATGAGTGGTGATGACTGCAGAACACTGTGAATGTATCAAATGCCACTGAATTATACACTTTAAAATGGCTGACATGGTGTATTTTGTTGTGTGTATTTTACCAAAATAAGAAAATAATAGTAAAAATGCCCCCACACACAAAAAAGGAAGTTGTACTAATTTAATATTAGCCAGATTTAAAATTTTTAACTGCCAGAGGGCATATGTACCTGCCTAAGAGAGAGAAAGCAGGGGGTCATGGTCACACCACAATTCCTTCTCCATTTCTCCATCCTGTTGGGATTTGGGGCACACAAGCACACCAGCATGTTTTTCAAGTCTCCAGGACTAGCACTGAACCACAGCTGGTCATGTGGGATTCAGCCCCCTTAACTACCAGGCTACAAAGGCCTAGTTCAGTGGAATTCAGTAAGAATTCCCATTTTGTCTTTTGGCAACAACAAAAGTTTAGGTTGGCTGTAGAACTTCAAAAAGGTCCTTAAGATATTTTGCAATACTCAGGTTAATATGCCACTTAATCTGGTCCCTCTATAAAAGGAATTAAATATTGAGATCTCCTTATATCTACTTAATCTCAGAAACTTAGTTTGGTTCCTGGTATAGAATATGTACTCGATAATTGTTGAAAGAAGGAATGAACAAAATGAAAATGAAATGAATCAGGATGAACTGTTTATGTGACCACTCTCTCCAACCAGACTATGAGCATATCAAGCAGAAGGGACATGTTTTATTCCCCTTTTGTCTCCAGCACTTAGCATAGTATTTGACACGAAATGAATATGTACTAAATATTGTTTATTAAGTCACAGATAAGAGATAAATATTGTATTTTAAAAATGCAAAGAAGAAAAAAGAAAACATATTTCTACATTTGATCTTAGCCAAAAGGCCAAGAAGCAATGAAAACACATTTCTTAACTCATGTAAACTTGTGCCAAAGCCTTACAAATAAATGTATGAATTGGAGTGGAAATCACAGAAATTTCTACCTTAAAGACACAGAAGAGGGGAACTTGGAAACTGAGAAGTCAGGTCACCTTAGTTCTCTAGAGTGGTTTAAGCTACTAGCCCCAGTGAAAAAGGATCTAGCTTACCTCAAGATCTCTAGCCTCTATCTGCACAGTATCACTCCTAGGACACACAATCAGGGCAGGCTGTGGTCACATCTCTTAGCCTAAGAGTAACACTTGTCAGAAATGTAAATTAGTACAATCACTGCGGATCCTGCTGTGGCCACAATTAAAAAGGCCTTGGGTGAAGGGAAGGGAAGGGAAGTAGTAGGGATATAACTTGAAGCACAAACAAATGTGGAAACTGAACCAAGACAATCTCAGTGCCACCACATCTGCTTCAAAAATGGCACACCAGTTGCCTCCTAAAGTACGTCATTGCATTGCACCATCTGCATCATCATAGAAGGAATGAAAGAGAAGGATGGGACTGGCTGGCTGGAATCACATCTTGGGGAAGCTGGCCAGGCTGGCGATGCCACAGGCGTTGTTCTTACTCCGAGCCATGAAGATATAGCCTTTTCTCCCCCAGTTTTCTCCCCAGCTGTAGGATCAATCAAGAAAAACACTTAGTAACTTTGTTTTTGGTTTATTTGTTCACTAAAATACTTACTGAGTATTGTGTTAAGTAGTGATGGTATAAGAAAATAAATAAGGCCTTTTTTTTAGCTTTTTTTTTTTTTTTTTGGAGAGGTTTTTGCTATAGGGCACGTGCGCTCGCCAGACAGAGAGAGAGACAGAGAGACAGAAAGCAAGAAATCACCCCCCAGTGGGGATGGCCACGCCACAATCCCTTCTCCTCCAGTCTCCAGTCTCCTCTCAGGATCTTGGGCATGCACGCACACGCGCCCGGCGTGAGTTTTAAGCCACCAGGTCCAGGACACGAACCGTGGTCGACTACATGGGAGTCCAGCGACGTAGCCATTACGCTAACTGCTGGTCCCTTTTTTTTTAGCCTTTAAAGACTTTAAAGACAGAAAGTGCAGAGAAGGCATAATGCAATAGGCCTCAATGGCAGAGAGATGGCTTCTGATCAAGAGTATCAAAAAAAAGCTTCTCCCCCCACAATCCTTGGTGTTCTTTCTTTCCAGCTTAGGCCCAGCAGAATGGCTCCCGCAAAGAAGGGTGGCGAGAAGAAGGGCCGTTCTGCCATCAATGAGGTGGTGACCCGGGAATACACCATCAACATTCACAAGTGCATCCATGGCGTGGGCTTCAAGAAATGTGCCCTTCAGGCACTCAAAGAAATCTGGAAATTTGCCATGAAAGAGATGGAGACTCCAGATGTGCGCATTGATACCAGGCTCAACAGAGCTGTCTGGGCCAAAGGAATAAGGGACGTTCCATATCGTATCTGTGCAGTTGTCCAGAAAATGAAATGAGGTTGAAGATTCATGCAACAAGCTCTACACTCTGGTGACCTATATACCTGTTACCACTTTCAAAAATCTACAGTCAATGTGGATGAGAACTAACTGCTGATTTTCAAATAAAGTTATAAAACCAAAAACAAAGAGTATCAAAAAAGCTTAATGTAAGAGGGAGCATTTGAGCAGAGCTCCAAGGATGGGAAGAATTTGGACCTGAAGGAACGGGATCCCAGGGGCATTAAATGAACAAGAGAGGCAGGATGCATGGGACACGTGTTAGGATTATGTGGTTGAAAATTAGGGTGCCTTACAGAGTGCAGTGGGTGATACGTCTGGAAAGTAAATTGAGATCAGCATGTCATCTATTTTATTGCAAGCCTAAAGAGTTTAACCTGTACTCTGGGATCCATCATCATAGAGAAGCCAAAGAAGGTTTTTGAGTGGGTAAGTGATATGATCAGGGCTGTATTTTATGAATATTAATCTTAAAAATGTAAGTAAAGAGAACAAGAAAGAGGCAAGAAGAACTGAAGCTGGTGATCTTGATTTGGAGTAAACCCCATAGAGGAGATGGGAGAGTGACTGAGAACACTAAAGAATGAGTAGGGAGAGTAGAATATTGGAAAAAGAAAGGAAGGGGGGAAAAAGAGGAAGAGAATGAAAGCGGGAAGGAGGAGAGGGAGAGGAGAGATCAGTTTATATACTTTCCTAAGTTATTTTATAAGTTTTCTGTCCCTTTTATCTCAACCAACAAATTCTCCAACTATTCAATACACTTTACTCAAGGACTGGACCCTGCCCCTATGTTCCTTTCTCCAGGGTCCTGCAGTGCTCCTTCCTCCCAGCTTTCTTCGATGCTGCTCCTGCCATTTGATCATGAAAGGACAAAGTACTTGGGGCTGGCAGCCAAGAAAAAGAGAAAACACGACAGAAACTGCAGGAGAGAAAACAGGACAGAAACTCCTAGAAAGCTGATCAAAGGGCCACTGGCTGATGGTGTGGTGGTTAAGGTGGCTGGATCCCACATGGCTGACTACATGGTTTGAGTCCTGGACTGGGAGCTTGAAAGAAACCACTCTGGGTGTAGGTATGCATGTATGCCCCAAATCCCAAAAGGAGAAATGGAGAAGAAATTGTGGTGTGACCATTCCCCACGGAGAAAGAGGGGGTGCGCTTTCTCACTTTCTCCCTCTCTCTCTCCCCAGTGAGTACAAGCACCCTCTACCAAGTTAAAAAAAAGAAAGAAAGAAAAGAAGCTGATCAGGTTCATCCTGAGTTGGGACTGGGATGTAAAACGTTGCTTATAGCAACTCTGGCCTCTAGTTCTAGCCTGCCAGCCCTGCAGGCAGCAGCCCCACTTGGTGACAGCACAGCATGGTCTGTGACCTCTCAGTATAGGACTCCTGCTTCATGGAAGACACCAAGGACAGCAAATTTAATCAGTGCGGCTGTCGGGATGGTAGTGACTAGTCAGGAAAGGAAAAGTTAATTCTCATAGATCTAGGTGCTCTACGCTTCCTCCCAACCTCCAGCAAGTCACAAGGGGCTAAGGGGGAATGGGAGACAAGGTACCCTGGACTTTTATTTGTTCCCAATAATAGGGAATACATATCTAATTTCCATTTTTGTTTCTATCTTATTATTATTTTTTTGGCAGAGGTTTTTGCCTTAGGGCATGTGCGCTCACTGGAGAGAGAGAGATAATGAGAGGGAAAGTGAGAAATCACCCCCTAGGGGGACGGCCATGCCACAATCCCTTTCCTCCATTTTTCTTCCAGGATCATGGGCATGCATCTACACAGACACACCTGGAGTGAGTTTCAAGTCACCGGGTCTGAGACTTGAACTACAGTCAGCCATATGGGGGTTCCACGATGTTAACTGCTATGCCATCTGCCAACCCTCTATCTTATTTTTTTAAAAATAATTATTTATTTATTTATTATTTATTTATTAATTTTAAGTTTGACCACAGAGAGACAGGGTGAGAGAGAAAGAGAAAGTGAGAAAGCAAGCTGCCAGGTCCAGGACTTGAACTGTGGTCAACCATGTAGGAGTCTGGTGCCCTTAACCACCTGCTGGCCCCCCTCAATCTTATTTTTAAAAGTGTTTCTTGGGGACCAGCAGATGGCATAATGGCTAAATCGCTGGACTCTCATGTAGTTGACTGCAGTTCGAGTCCTGAACCTGATGGCTTAAACTCACACTGGGTGCGTATGTGTGCGTGCCCAAGATCCCAAGAGGAGAATGGAGGAGAAGGGATTGCAGCGTGGCCATGCTCCCTTGGGGGTGATTTCTCACTTTCTGTCTCTCTGTCTTTCTCTGTCTTCTTAGTGAGCACATGCACCCTGTAGCAAACAAAAAAACCTCTCAAAAAAAAAAAAAAAAAAAGAAAGGGTTTGTTTTCACAGACTTCACAATTCTTAGTAAATTCTTATATATGTCTATCCTAAGTATATCTTGAAGGATCAAAAGCTGTCCAAAGGAATATTAAACCTTTATACTTTTATATGGTCCCCCTACTGCTTATAGATAGACTGATAATGGAAACCTCCCTAAGATGTTGAACATGTTAGAACAAAGAAAGTAAAATACATATAATTCTAAAGCTCCTACTGGTTCCTTGTGCCACCTTATGCCATTGTTACTTAGGTCTGTCCTTCTTGCTTGGCTGTGACTTCAACAGGCAGACCCTGTTCATTTGTTCATGTATGTAACCAAGCACATGTAACTTGCACATGAAACAGCTGTCCACCACACACTCTTGAGTACAATTTTGAGTAAAGTGAGAAATTTAATTGTCTGGCCATTAAATGTTATATTCAGGACTAAGAAGACAGAGTGAAAGCCTTAAACAACTTTCTCTTGATTCGAGTGAGAGGAAGGAGCCAGGAAGCTGGAAGAGAGTGACTGTGATAAGGGAGAGCGACAGAAGTAGTACTGCCGTCATTACCTGTTTTTAATTATCCAGTGCTTGCTTCCTTTCTGGACCCCATATCCCACTGCCAAAACCGCGTGGTTCACATTGTCACTACTGCAGTTTTCATCGTAATACACACCTAGGAAACAAACTATCAAAGTGAGACTCTGCAATCCAAGAGTTGCCCTGAGGGGTGTCCCAGTCTCGGAGACTAGAATTCCATTTTATTCATGTGTGTTGAAACAGAGATGCTCTGCATGGTAGCAGCTGTCAGTATCTTCTGGCAGACTCAGTTTAAGTATGGAAACTAAGTGCTGAAGATGCCCTGGGCCCTTGGAGAGGCCACCAAGCCCACATCGTAAAAGCACTTTGTAGGAACAGTTCCTTACCTTTGCTGTAAAACTGGAAGGAGGTCAGGCTTGCATCAATGGCCACAGAAACGGGTCCCACTCGGGCCACTGCCCTCTTCAGGGCCTTCTCGTTCCCCACAGGGATCTCTCTGTACCCTCTACATTTAGCTGCCTTGCCTGTTGGGTTGTACATACAACTTTCATCCTGGAAGAAAGGAGGTTGTAATAGGACTAGTATAAAGCACTGAGTTGATGAGTGAAAAATTCAACCAATGTTTTAAACAATGTCAGTGAACTAACAGGGGCAGCAGACTAGACCAAAAGAGTCTATGGTCCTCCTCATGTTTTAGATAACAGTACAAAAGAATAGGAAAAGTGGATTCCTACCTTCTACCACATAAAAAAATCAACTGCAGGTGGTTTAAAGATATAAACACAGAAGAAAAAACTGTTCAGATTTTAAAAGAAAGTGAATATTTTTATTACCCGAGGGTAAGAAAAGATTTCTGAAATAAGTTGTTTGCTTTTTTTTGTTGTTTTTTAAGAATCAACTGGGTTAGTTGGTGGTGGCATGGTGGTTAAGATGGCTAGATCCCACATGGCCAACTGTGTGGTTCAAGTCTCAGACACAGTGGCTTGAAAAATGTACTGGGAAAGGGACCAGCAATTAGCGTAATGGCTATGTCGCTGGACTCCCATGTAGTCGACCACGGTTCGCGTCCCAGACTTGGTGGCTTAAAACTCACAGCAGGCGCATGTGCATGCATGCCCAAGATCCCAAGAGGAGAATGGAGGAGAAGGGATTGCGGCGTGGCCATCCCCCCTGGGGGGTGATTTCTCACTTTCTGTCTCTCTGTTTCTCTCTGTCTGTCTGGCGAGTGCACGTGCCCTATAGCAAAACCTCTCAAAAAAAAAAAAAAAAAAAAAGAAAGAAAGAAAGAAAAATGTACTGGGAATGTAGGCATGCCCCAAGTTCCCAAAGGAGAAATGTTAGAGAGGGGACTGTGGCATGACCATCCCCCATGGGGTGTACTTTCTCTCTATCTCTAACAACTGCAAGTACCCTATGGCAAATTAAAGGGGGAAAAAAATCATCTTCTAGCCATGTAGATGTGTGAGCCTTGGAGGATCGGGCGGTACCACCATCTATGAGGACAGAGGCCAAAGCCCAGCTAGAGGAAGGACCTAGGCCCTTTGCCCCTCTATCAGGGGAACTAGGTAAGCCAGAGGGTTTTGGCTGGATCCCTGGGTCTCTTTTGAGAGAAGCCCAACCACTGTTCTGAGTAATGTCATGAACTGATATAAGACTCAAAAGTCAGCAAAAAACATGTAACATATAAAAGCACATAACATGATAATAAAATAGATTAATAAAGAATGTAACAATCAGTTTGTGACCTTCTAATACCATGTTTTGTGGTCTAGTTAGCAATACATTTCATTGTCAAGCCACAGTTATGGAACCTAGTAACAGTCATGTTCTGGTAGCATATTCCTTTTGGCAATTCATTTTCCTACAGACTATCCCTTTGAAAGCCCAAGGCTGCATCTACATGAAGAATACATTATCTAAATATTAACAGTAATAGCAGCATTTGATGTGAATTCTAATATTACAGTGGTTTCTACCTTAATAATTTCTCAAGATCCCTTTGTTTTGTGCCATCTGATCTAAATACCTATTGCCTCCTGATGCCAAAAATTACACAGACATGCGAGTAAAATAGGATGTCTTGGGAATGGACTCAGAAGGATGTCATGTGATGATACTTTAAAGTCAGAATAACCAACATTATAAATGGAATGAACTTATATTGCTGTCTTTTAAAGATATTCTAATGTAGCTTCTGCCCTATTTTTTTAATTTATTTTTATTTGATTCACATCTGGAACATTCTTTCTGTATTGGACAATAACTGCTGTTATAAACTATAAAGTAGCCCTAGCCATGGTAGTTCAGGCTGGTTGATACTGCTACTCAGCAGGCCGAGGTCACATAGGAGGCCCTGGCTCACCCTGAAAAGCCAAACACGGTAACACATGTCTATAGTCCCAGCTACATGGGAGGCTGAGGCGGGAGGAAGCAAACTCACAGCCTGTGTGTACAACACCTTGAGACCTTACCTGAAAGAGTCAGGCGTGCTAGTGCATTCCTGTGGTTGTAGCTACTCAGGAGTCAGGAGAATTATGATATAGTAAGACACTACCTAAAACACCACACACACACAACACTGTAAAATAGACAGTTGGAAGATTACAACTGCCCAACATTCAGAAGGTTAAAAAATGGAACATGTGTCTTATATGACTAATTCTTCATTTTAAACTGATAATGAGACCAAAATCATTCTACATTGTTCTAAAACGCTAAAGAGATTATTTGAAGGGGCAGGAGAATGAAAACAAAAGTCAAATATTCTTTCTAGTCCAAAACAGGGTTTCAAATATTTTATAATTTTCATTTAAATTATCCAGAGCCTCTGAGCTAATCAGTAAACTATTCCTCAACAAACTGATGAACAAGTGCTAACAAATGATGTAAACTGTCAATGGATGAGTGATCAACTAATATTCTGATTGTATTTAATTTATTTTTCTTTGGTATAGGTACAAAACCTTTAAGCTGGCTGTTTGGATTAGTCAACATGAAGAAAAGTATAAATACAAATCTGATTTTTGCATATACCATTGGGATTTTTTTATATCAAATAAAAACAAAAAGTTAAAAGAATATTTTGCCATACTCAGGTTTTTCCACTAACTACCCTAATGTATTTAGAATTTAAAAACAAAATTTTTAGGGCAACTTCAGTATGCTGTTCTTTATACTGGCAGCCAGTATTTATATATGGACTTAGAACTCAGCAATTCTGAAAATTGTATATGGACTAAAAACATTTTTCTCCCAGGAACAAACTTTCCTTTGCTTTGTATACCTGACAGCTGAAAAACCATAACACAGAATGAGATAACATGTGTAAAATAAAGCACTATTTTGGTGTGACCATTATCATGAGGGTATGTTGAAAGTTTATTTAGTAATTAGATTGCTGGGTATCCATTCAAATAGATTTGTTTAGGGTAGTCCTATAGCCTACTAGTTAAGGAGCCAAATTCCACATAGCTGACTGCAGTTCAAATCTTGGCCCTGGCAGCTTGAAAAACAGGCCAGGTGGGGGAACAGCAGGTTGCACAGTGGTTAAGGCACTGGACTCCCACATGGCCAAGTGCAGTTCAAGTCCTAGACCTGGTAACTTGAAGCTCATGCCGGGCATGTGTGACTGCATGCCCAAAACCCTGAGAGGAGAAGGGAGAAGGGATTGTGGCATGGTCATCCCCCTAAGGGGGTAATTTCTTGCTTTCTGTCTTTCTACCTCTCTGGCAAATGCGCATACCCTATGGAAAAAAAAAAAACTCTCTCAAAAAAAAAAAAAAAGAAAAGAAAGAATGCCAGATTCATATGTATATATGAAATCCCAACATGTTGGAAAAATGGAGGAGATGGGATGGCAGCATGACCATGCCCCACTGGGAGGTGCTTTCTTTCTTTCTCTCTCTATAGTGAGTGCACTCACCTTCTGGCAAACACACCAAAAAAACAGATTGTCAGTCATTTACATTAAATGTGCATTTTGTTGCAGCAGACATCATTTCAGATGACTATGAATGAATGAAACTCAATGCTACTGGATTTTATAAAAGGCAAAAAGTACAGGGCCAGCCAGTGGTGTGGTGGTTGAGGTGGCTGGATCCTACAAGGCTGACTATAGGGTTCATGTCCCAGACCCAGCATTTTGAAAACATGATGAGCATATGTGCATGCATGCGCAAAACCCTGAGAGAAGAATGGAGGAGAAGAGACTGCAGTGTGATCCCTCATGGGGGCTTTGGGGAGATACTTTCTCCCTCTCTGACAAGGAATGTGCCCTATAGCAAATTTTTTTAAAAAATTGAATCAAAGGGATTTATTTTATGCTGCAGGCTAGAAAGTATCTTTTCCCAAATGCTTTGGTAAACAATTTGACTTATGTCATAAGGTTGACCTAAGACTCAAACAATTCTGTTTCAAGGTATTATATCCTAGTAGGAAATTCTTGCATATGTGTATGGCAGGTATGCCTAGGAATGTTTATAGATAGTAAATAAATAGATCCGGTAGATAAATCTTGTCTTTGCTACATAGTGGTGGTATGAATTTGAGTAGCATACTCCCCCCTTACCCGGGTTTTGCTTTCTTTCTTTAAGTTTTTACTGCAGAGTATGTATGCTTGCTCGCCAGAGAGAGAAAGTGAAAGATAAGTGAGGAATCAACCCCCATGCCCCACCCCAGGGGAAACGGCCACACCACATTCCCTTTTCCTCTGTCTTCCTCTCAGGATTTTGGGCGCCTTCCCTTCCCCTGCCCCGGCCAGGTCTGTGACTCAAACCATGGTTTGTCATGTGGCAGTCTATCATCTTAACCACCACTGGTGGCTTCCAGGTTTTGCTTTTTATGATTTTAATTATCTGCAGTTAACTGCTGCCCAAAAATATTAAATGGAAAATTTCAGAAATAAACAATGCCTAAGTTTTAAATTATACACCATTCTGTGTCGTGTGATGAAATCTTGCACCATCTCACTTAGTCCACCTGGGAAATATATCATCCTTTTGTCCAAAGATACTGGACCCACCCGTTAGTCATTTAGTAGCTGTCTAGGTCATGGGATGGAAAATATATAGTGTACATAGGAACTGGTACCATATGCAGTTTCAGGAATAGACTAGGGGTCTTGGAATGTACCCTCCACTGATAAGAGGGAACTACTATATACTATTTTTAATCCTTGAATGTAAATTTCCTCACCTATGAGGATCAGTGTACATTCCAGGACTGTTAAGATTACATGAGCAGGGAACCAGCAGTTAGTGTAATGGTTATGTCGCTGGACTCCCACGTAGTCGACCGCGGTTCGCGTCCCAGACCAGGTGGCTTAAAACTCACGCCGGGCACGTGTGCGTGCGTGCCCAGGATCCCAAGAGGAGAATGGAGGAGAAGGGATTGCGGCGTGACCATCCCCCCTGGGGGGTGATTTCTCGCTTTCTGTCTCTATGTCTCTCTCTGTCTGTCTGGCGAGCGCACGTGCCCTATAGCAAAAACCTCTCCAAAAAAAAAAAAAGATTACATGAGCAAATACATAAAGCACACAGCTTGCATATAGTAGCTATCATCTCTGTTACTCAGATTTGCCTTACCTGTTCCAAAGGCTCCTGTCACAGAGGCCCCATTCTGTACTACCTTTCAGACTCAGCTATATAAAAACACTCAGGTCTCAGGACCAGCAGTTGGTATAATGGCTAGGTCACTGGACTCCCATGTAGTCGACGCGGTTCAAGTCCTAGACCTGGCGCCTTAAACTCACGCCAGGCACGTGTGTGTGCGTGCCCAAGATCCCAAGAGGAGAACGGAGGAGAAGGGTTTGCGGTGTGGCCATCCCCCCAGGGGGTGATTTCTCGCTTTCTGTGTCTGTCTTTCTGGCGAGCGCACATGCCCTATAGCAAAAAAAACACTCCCAAAACCAAAAAACCCTCAGGTCACATCCCTTTTAGAAGGGTCTACTTTCTATTATTAAAGGATCACATAAGAGGAAGTGAGTTAATCCTCTAATATTATTAATAAATATGAAGCAACTTGCTTTTTCTCTCATTTATATATGGTAGCATGTAAATTTACATAATTTGCTTAAATGTTCTCCAAACTCCACTGAGATAACACAAAATAAAGCCATGTGATTCATGAAAATAGCATGGTGAGCTTACAAGTTTGAACAGACAGTTATAGAAACCTGCTCAGAGGTCTATGGGATAACCTAGCCTATGTTTCTTTCCAGGGCAAAGAGACAAATAAGAGATATGATAGCCTAAGCTCCTAAAGTGCTCCCAGATTGTAGGAATTATCTTGGCCTTCTGTGGGGAGTTATCCCATCATGAAAGCAAGACTGTGGGACCAACAGGTGGCACAGTGGTTATTTTGCTCCCACATGGGTGACCATGGTTTGAGTCCCAGACTCTGTAGCTTGAAACTCACACTGGGCACATGTGCGTATGTGTTCAAGATCTCAGGAGGACAAAGAGGAGAAGGGTTTGCAGTGTGGCCACTCCTCTGGTGGGTGATAGCCTACTCACTGTGTCTGTCTCTCTCTCCACATGTGCCCTAAGGCAAAAACCTTTCAAAAAAAAAAAAAAAAAAAAAGGCAAGCAAGCATGATTGGGAGACAGAAAACAAGATTCCTGGAATTGTTTCCAGTATAAAATATGCTGAGGGAGGAAGCACCATTATAGAGTTGAGGAACTATGTAAAGGAGTCTCACCTGTCCCACATATGGATAGGCATCTTCAGAGTCAATACCCCGGTTCTTCTGAACATACTGGAAAGCATTGGTCATATATCCCCCTCCGCAGCCATCATTCTCAGACACACAATCCACCAGGTTCTGGGGACTCAGATTTAAGAGTTTGCCGGTTTTCTTCTTGAGTTGGCCCTCTAGGGCACCCACAGAGCTAAAAGCCCAACAGGAACCACACTGACCCTGAGAAGCATATAGAGAAACTATCAGTCATTGCTGTTCACTTACTATAGTTTCACTGTACCTTCAAGATAAAAATTCCACATATTTTATAAATTCCAGAGCAAATGTTGTCTTTATTGTTAAGTCTTTGTACTGTCCTTCATTTCATATGCTGCATTGTGCTATGGCTATTGTTAATGGTAACAGCTGTTGCCATTAGCTGTAATAAAGCAGAGCAAAGCAGAGCAGAGTGCAGGCTTTGGAGGCAGTTCTCCTTGGTGCTAGCTATGTGATCTTGAATAAGTTACTAAAACTCTCTGAACCTCAGTTTTCTTATCTGTACATGTGAATAAGAACACTTTAATGGAATAGTTATAAAGATTGAAAGATTTAAATTCACATAAAGATTGCAGAAGTTCCTGACACATTATAATGCCTCAAAAAATAGTGGTGCTGAGGGCAGATGGTGGTGCCGTAGTGAAAAATGATGCTCTGCAAGGCGATCTTACATGGGAAGGTTCTTAGCTCAAGTCTGGAGATCTCCAAATATACCCATGATCCAAGGCTGGCTGAGGCTGGGGGTAAATCTTGACATTAAGACCTTGTTGGGGGTTCTCTCTCTTGTCTCTGTCACTCATGGAAGGAATAAATAAACTTAAAAAAAAGATTTATTATTTTAAAAAATTTTGCTATAGGGCACATGTACTCACCAGAGAGAGACACGGAAAGAAAGAAAGGAAGAAAGAAAGAAAGACAGAAAGAGAGGAAAAGTGAGAAAATAAGCCACAGGTCCAGGACTGAAACCATGATTGGCCATATGGGAGTCCAGAGCCTTAACCACCATGCCCCCTGCTGGCCCCATAAGTAAACTTTTTAAAAAGTGCTAGCTATTAGAGCCAGCAGGTCACATGGTAGATAAAGCACTGGACTGCCACATAGCCAACTATGGTTCAAGTCCTAGACATGGTGGCTTGCTTTCTTACTTTCCCTCTCTGTCTCTCACTGGCAAAATTAAAATAAATAATTAATTAAATAAAATTTTTAAAGTGCTAGCTATTGTTAGTGTCTGTTAAGTTACACTACAGATTTTTCTTACTTTCTTGTCTTATATTTTAGATTTTTCTTTCTTTATTCTGATAGAGCATAACTGCACTCAAGTGAGAGTAAGAGTGAGTGAAAGAGAGATGAGCATCACTCACAGAGTCTGGCCACATCACAACTCTTCCTTCTTTCTCTAGTCTGTTGAACCCTGGGTATTCACATGAGTTTCAGGCTGACCAGGCTGGGGACGCAAATCCCAGTTGCTATGTAGGATCTGGTTTCTTTTGAGCAATGCATTATCATTACTATACAGCTGGCCCTTCTGTTCTATTTTTTTGACTGAGGATTTCTTGAGGATACAGGTTATGTTTTAGTTATCTTGAATCTCTACTGCCTAACACTAGGCTGGTAGGTTCTTACAGGAGTGTGTTGAAGAGTGTTTGTTGAATGAATGTTAAATTAACAGTTCATTTTGCCAATACAATTCTGTTAAGTTTGTGGGGAAACTGGCATTCTCATGCCGGTAAGAATGTAAGAATGGAGGCCAGCCCATGACCTGGTGGTTAAAGCTAGATCTCACATGGTCAAATGCATGTTTCCAGTCCCAGATCTGGCAGCTTGAAAAACTCACCAGGTATATGTGCATGTATGCATGCCCAAAACTCCTGAAAGGAGAGAGAAATGGAGGAGAAGGCATTGCAGTACAACCATTCCCTATGGGGGTGCTTTCTCATTTACCTGCTCGCTCTCTCTCCCTCTCAGTGAGTGCAAGCGCCCTCTGGAAAATTTATAAAAATAAAAAGAATGTAAGATTGTGAAACCTTTTGGAAAGGATATTCTGTGACACAGAAATTCTAGTTGTATGGTTTATTTTGCATAAATGTTTTGTACACAAAAATACTTGCACAGGGGTGCTTATTAAAATCATATTTGTAATAAAGAAAAAATAGGAACAACCTAAATGTATAAAAACAGGTGATATGGGACCAGCAGATGGCATAATGGCTACATTGCTGGACTCCTATGTAGTTGACTGCAGTTCAAGCCCCAGATCTGGTGGCTTAAACTCATACTGGGCGCATGTGCGTGTTTGCCCAAGATCCCGAGAGGAGAATGGAGGAGAAGGAATTGTGGTGTGGCCATTCCCCCCTGGGGGGTGATTTCTTGCTTTCTGTCTCTCTGTCTCTCTATCTCTTTCTGACAAGCATACGCGCCCTATAGCAAAAATCTCTCAAACAAAACAA